GGAAAGTGACCAAGTCCTATCCGCCGCCGAAAGGCTCCAAGCTGATCACGCCGGATAATGTTTGGGATTGGCTGTACAAGAATTGCCAGATAGAAGAGCCAGCGAGGCCGTAATTGCTGCATTGTATAGTTTGCAGTGTAGAACGATACTCGTCCAACGCAGCACAGTCCGGATTCCGGAACCCGGAACGACTGAAGACTAGTTACGTAATTTAGGAGTCAAGCACTCGTGGTGTATGTGTGCCCAGTCTGTGCAAGCTGTCGGACGAGTCCCTTTGTGCAGAAAAGTTTGAGACAGATAGAGGGGCGCGCCACGGGGTCACGGCAGACAGAAAAGATCGGAGGGTTGCATTGGACAAGAGGCCTGCGCTGTGTTTGTGGAACCTCAGATGATAAAATTGTGTAAATCCCCGACAGGACTTGACGAGGCCGGGCCAAGCCGGCAACGCATCGATTGCGCCGGTGCTGCCTAATCAGTTCGCGTCCATTGCATCGTCCGACAAGGGCCAGCTCATGGCCGGCGGGCTGCTTGTTCCAAAGTAAGTTTTCAAGCATGTATTAAAACAACAATACTTCATCCGTGTCAGCAAGTCTGAGTGACATTTCTTAGGAGCCTGTTCTGGTTGTCATTCTCCACAGCGGCGACATCCTTAAATTGGGAGGCTGTGAGGACCGTTTCCAAGTCCCAGATCGTAGCCGACGCGTCCCTGGCCAGCGCGGAGATTGGTGTCGTGGTTGCCGATACCTCCCTGAACACTTACCCGGACGAAGAGGAAATCCGCATCATTTGGGGAGAGGAGATGGCTCTGGGCATCATGGTCGGCGTCCTCCGACAGTACGAAGACGCAGTCAAAAGTAGCCTGGGTCCGAAGGAGCTGTCCACGCAGATGAAGACCTGGGTGAGGCAGGTGTCCTGCTGCCCGATGAAATGGCACGCAGCCCGTTCGGAATCCGGAGCATTGCTGGCAGGCTGCGATTGATGCCCGCAGTTTGTTTTGAGAGTGCCTAGCCATTGATTGACCCCCAAGCCCTGTTGAACGAGTCGGGGCTCACGCCTGTGTGGCATCGACCTTTTTTTTTGACTG